CTCTGGTATTTTGGTGCAAAATCTTTAAGCCTTTTACCTTAAGCAATGACATAAGTTCATCGATAACTCTCTCGCCACCACCGATTTGAGCTGATGTAGGTCCAGGGCAAGATTCAACGTCGCCACATAGCAAGATCAACAGAGTAATATAGCTTCGTGTTGAATTTCGAAGCTGCACGGATCGCCCGTTTCTCTTCGGTTGCCACAAACTTGAAGAAATAAATGATTCATTTCCACTGGATATCTCCTTTCCCTCAGTGGAAAGACCAACAGTGTCTGAAGTGACAAAAGCTGTCTTTTTCACCTGTATACAGGCCAGAAAAACCAACAAGATCAGAGCAGGTTTTAGCGTGACCACCCAGCAGCCGAGGATTTCCAAGCACACATGTATTGTTCTGTTTATTATATAAACAATATTTGTACACCACCATAACTCAAACGAATAAAATCCAAACAAATTTATTACAAAATTCATACAGGAATGAAAAAATTGTGTATGAATGCAACTTATATGTTAAACAGTGCCAAAAACGGTATAACTTTCAAACAAAATTTATAACAATATAGGACGACTATATACAGTAAATAAAATTATATAATAACTACAGTGAAACACGCAATTTGATTGGTCAACAGCCGTGCAGGATCAGACAATCCTGCACGGGAAATTCTGAACAGAAATTCTTGCACATAATTTTACAAATATACTCGCATTGTAAAGTTTCATTGTACGATACCTTTCGACTTTGAAGTAAGTTTCCAATTATTGAGACGTTGGTTTAGTTGTATGAATAAATTTCTGATCGATACATTCCTGTTCAAGCAAGTAGCAACGCGTAGCGTTGAAATTCATCAGACCATGGCAAGTACAACATCTCTCGCTAGTCGCTTCAAAGTTCAAACGCTTCGCAATCTTCAAGTATTCAGGTCGAGAATCTTTTCATAACTACTTTGGCTCTCTGTTTAGCGGGTTTTCCATTTCAAATTTCGTAAATTTTATCGAAAAAATCTCTGTATTTTCGCTGTATATTTTCGCGAATTTGCGATCAAATTCTGTTCGCATTTGTTGTTGTTTTCAATAGCGTGGAGTAGCGATTCTCCGATTGGTTAATTGACGATTGTTGTGAGAACTGCACATTTCATCAGTAATTTTAATCAAGTTAACCGTCGTTTCACTGTAGTAATTTTATAAAACAATTACCAAATGGTTTTTCCGTCCAGGATAGCATGATCCATGCACTTGGGATGTTGCTCGTCTTTCGGAAAGCGTAAAAATACACTCGCCTACTGCTCGTGTATTTTCGCGCTTTCCGAAAGTCTCGCAACATCCCGCGTGCATGGATCACGCAATCCTGCACGGAAAACCATTCGGTATTCCTTTAATGCGACACTGAAATTAATATTCAACTAAGTCATAACACAATACAACAGGTCACTCATGTAAAATTTTTAGGTGTAATAATAAATCAAAATCTGACGTGGAAGAACCATATAAACTCGGTTTTGAAAAATATAATTAAAGCCACTGCACTTATTGCAAAACTACGAAATTTTACAAACGGAAATACGCTAAAATTAATTTATTATGCATTGGTTTATCCATTTCTTACTTATGGGAATCTAACATGGCGAAATACATACCCAACAAGGCTTCAAAGTTGCTGAATGTACAAAAAAAAAAATATTAGACTGATCACCTTCAAATCCTATCTTGAACACACTGAACCGTTATTTCACAAGTTGAAGATTTTAAATATTTTTAAGATCAATGATTATCTAAGTTGCTTATTCATGTACCGTATTAAATACTTCCAAAATTTACCTGAATTTTTTAATAGTTACTTCACACGGAATAGTGAAATACAGCGTTATAATACTCGAAATGCAAACAAATTTCACGTTAAGAGACCGGTCATTATTTATGGCGGGGGGATAGCACCGAAGAGAAATGTTTTTCGTAGCAAAAATTTTGTTTGCTGACCCAACCATTAAAAAGTAAAAAAAGATGATTACCCAACCTCAAATATCAATTAAAAAATAAATACCCACCCCTGGCCAAAAAATTTACAAAAGGTACCCTTCAGTTATCACATATGTCCTTTACCACTTCTGTGACATAAGTTTGATAACGGATTGTGAAATTTTCTGCAGTCTGAAGTTTCATGTTGTCTGCACATGTAGCTACTTTCTTTGGAAATCCCATCGGAAATTGATCGAGATAATGACTCTGATTGATATATACTTTTCATTGTTTCTTTACACATTTAGTAAATCTTAGTATAACACCAAGTTCATCAATTGCTGCTATTTTGCTAGCAAATCCATGTATAATAAACGCGGGTGTTTTGCAATCAAAAGTGATGCAACCTGGATAGTGGAATAAGTTGATTACTGTAGGCACAATTTTTGGCCACTTAATAGTCAAAGGTCATGCATAAATAAGAACAGTCTTTAATATTACCGCCTTACGGAGAGTTTATATTAATTGTGCTACTCTAGGATCTAGAAGACCATACTCGACTAGCAACATAATCAAGTTAGTTATGTTAATTCATTATATATAGGATATGTTAAAGGCAAGGAGGCCTATAAGCTACAATCATTTGTATGGCTTATAGAAGGCTAATTGCTGCAAATAAATTGAATAATGAATGTAGCACAATATTAAATAGTTGCATGATGACGTCAAAGAAACTAGTCAGACTACATTTGCAAGTTTTGCAACTCTCATCGCTTAAATTCCCCATACCTGAATACAAAATAAATGGTAAACAACGATTACCTTTTACATACCATATATAAAACGGAGTTTTCATCCTTTCTAGAAATTCACTTCCTGAACTTTTGAGCGCAAATGTAATGTATTAAAAATGTTTATCATATTCACAGCGGTTAATACCATTAATATATCGCGCGCGCAATACAAAACAAAACACGAGAATTTTAAAATGTTTTGATTTGCAAATAAATAAATAATATTTGATGTCATAAAAATTTTTAAATTTAACTCAACACAAACTGGTAAGTTCGTGACATGTATAATTTATATATGTTGTTATATTGCAATTCTGTACCCTATTCCATTGAAAATTGTTTGCAATTGCATATGATGTGAACATGTGGTCATGTATTATAGTTGTGTCATGAATTTAATAATACCCCAATGGCTTCGAAATAGACAATGGATGAAAAAAGTCATGAATATTGAGCTTATTTACCCTTTAAACACTTGATCGTCATGCGCATACAGTGTATTGTTTGTTTCCATTGTTTGTTTCCAGAACCCCGTCAAGCAGACTTCAACTTTTTTTGTTAAATTGTATATTTTGCTTCATACACTGCATGTGTGTGTGTTTGTGGGAACACTCATGTTTGGATGCTTGGCATAGGTTAATGGTAATTTCATTGGAGTCATCAGGGATATAGTTGTGTATTCTTGAAATTACTTCTAAACACCTAAAACAGCATTCCCTAAAATTTTATTTGTTTTCTTACATTGCCCTATATCGCTCAAACTCGCACTGCTTAAATTGCAGATTTTGCTTAAATCACCTAAAATTGCTTAAATTCGCATTATCTCGTTATCGCTCCAGAGTAGAGCCTACTGTTGCCATTGCCTTTTAGTCTCCAATATTTTAGCGAGTCATGCTTTGGAAATGACAATAATTTTTTTATTACCGAACCCTTGAGTTGTTTTGATTTTCATTTACCCAACCATTTACTTACTCAAAATTTAGTTTACCCAACCCTTTTCTCTTCGATGCCACCCCCCACCATAAATAATGTCCTGTCCCTAACTATAGAAGAACCAATTATGCCAAACATACCGTTATTAACAAGGGAATTGAAATATGGAATTCTCTTGATGAAAAGATAAGCAATATTAGGTCTTATTTTACTTTTAAAATAAAATCAAAGATATTCTTTTTGGAATATACTTGATTGTCATCAAACTAGTCATAATGTTTGTATATACGCATCAGAAAACACAAAGCCTTCATGTCTTGTCTATAGAAAAATAATTTTTAGTTAAATTAAATTTTTCTTCTTCTTAATACTTAATTATGTTATAATCATTACTTGTAAATATTCTATTCGACTATAAAAAATTATTCTTATGAACATTGTAAAACTAGGCAACTCTTACCAAAAAGCCTGAAAGGGTTTCATTAAGGTCCCTAGCCCTTCACGTTGTTTTTATAGCATTGTAATTATGTAAACTTTTTATTGGGCAAAATAAATAATAATAAAAAAAATAAAAATAAAAACTTGCCACGTCGATTACTACAAAATACCTACAAAAATGTATTTATTGAACAAATTTATTATGTGAGCTGAGTAGTGAGACCGCCAAACTGTATTTTACGGAGAGTAGACAAAAATCTGCTAACTAATAAAGTCATAACTTATGAAGAGTAACTATTTTTACAATGGTCCATCTGCTGGTACGGTAATATGCATGCAAGCCACATGCGCCATCGGCACCGAAATTCTCCGGCGATTTCTTGCAAGTAATTCGCTGGCGATTCCCTCGTTGATTGCGATTAAAAAATAATAGACTTTGGTGTGGCCATCAGCGTGAGAATCAAGAGGGACGGGGGAGGGACGTGTTCACCAATCTGTCCCGGTGTGACGCGAAATTCCTGACTTGCGCAGACGATGCGACCATGCGCAGACGATGCGCATGAATGACTTTGGCTTATAAATTTCGCATTTCAACAGACAACACGTGTATTTTTAAAAAGTCATTTTATAAATTTTTATTTATACATAAATTTTCAAACATCAATTCTACAATTGATCAACTGAATTGACACTATACCACTGATTGTGAACAGTTAGCGTTCAGCGATAATAAAGCTTGAATCGCAGATATGGAAAAAGTCGAAAAGGGCTCTTAGTGATATGAAATAGACTCCAGTTTCAAAGGTTATGCTATATGCATTAATTACTATAAGCACACGTCGTATATTTCGCGGTCACGACCACACAATTCGCTTTGAAATTTAAATTGTTTGTGATTGAAACTTAGCGATGTCGATTTGAAATATTTATCGAAGTATTAGAAATTAACATCGATCATGATTATTTTATCTAAACTCTAAAAACACGTTTTGGCCGACTTAGAATTTAGCAAGCGTCATGTATTTCGCGCCTACACGCGCGAAATTTCTGACCCTGACCCGTTACGCTTGGTTAAGTATTTCGCAGGGGTCAGGAATTTCGCATGACACCGGGGCCCGTGGTAACTCTCGCCGGCCTTGATGCTTCCTTGTCTGTTGCTATGTGAATCCACATTAATGTATAAAGTCCTAAATGATTGCGCTGGGCCGAACTTGAAGGATGCTCTAACGAGAAGGGACCTTGTTCAAACCAGTTATAATCTTCGTAATACCTATACTGACCTTACCCTTGCTAAGCCAAAACGAGAATTTCTAAAAAAAAGCTTTAAGTATAGCGGAGCTAAATTGTGTAATAGTCTTCCTTCTGATGCGAATTAAGCTAGCGCAAACAATTTATTCTTTTAAAAACTGCCTGAAAGTTTCACGCTAACATCTTCTAATATACTGTATATGCATGCTTTAGAAATATGGGTCACACCGTTTGGAACTTAATTCTTGTATTGTAAATAGTTGTATATAATTCTTTATTCTTTTCTATATCATATTTGTAATTTTTAATAGTAACAGACGTCCCTCGTGAAAATCAACAAATCGTTGACGAGGCTAACGTCTTTAAATAAAGTTTACATACATACAATACATAGCAATAAGAGTCATTGTTGATCAATACAAGGCTCAATTGCTAAAAATATACAAGCATTGATTCCATTTCCAAACTATTATTCTATGTGAATATATTGGCAATTATATATAAAAGGAGATACAGTAGGATTGAAATAGCTACCAGTTCCAATCAAATAACTACTTTAATTTCTGTATCAAGCCTCCTTGGGGTTATTTTTTCCCGAGCATCATTGACGGGGGCTTAATGGAGAGGGGGCTTTATAGAGGGCCGCTTGTTCTAAATATATGCAATAAGTCTGGATACCATTAAAAAATGTCCATATTCAGAGTTACCGTTGTACTATATTTTATTAATATACTGCAGAAATGCAATATAATTCATGATTTCAAGAATTAATTGAATGGAGGCTGCATGGTTAAAAGAGGGGGGTGGGACTTATTTATTTTTTATTTTTGTATCCAAAAAGAGGGGGGTGTTATTGGAGAGGGGCTTAAAGGAAAGGGGGGATAAATACAGAAATTACAGTACCTTTATTCCTTCCTCTCCCTTCCCGAAACATGCTGCAGGAGAGGGGGCACTGCAGGGGTTAAAGCATGAATTGCAATGTTGATGTATTGCATGTTATCTACTTGGTAATATGGAGTATAAACTTGCGGTTGCCATAGAGTCTATTGTTTTGTGTTTCATTAAAATATGGAGTATAATGAGCTAGTAAATATATCCTTGCCTATAATTAGTTGCTGATTAAATGTTCAAAGATACACAGTGTGAAGCATGAAAAACAAATGTGAGATACCCACTGCAACAAACGTTCAACAAATATGGCCTTGTTCATTTCTTACTTTCGACACAAGTAATTATAATTACAAACACAATGTACTATTTTTTTTTAAAGACTTTATATGTGCTCCATGTATATATGTTAATGTAATATAATATAAACGATTATTGTTAAAATATCTGATATATAATACAGCAAACCTCCGACTGTAAGCCCTGGGCTTATATTCTTTTATTCTTGTGTTACTAAAAAACAAGTCATAAACAGGAAAATAAACATGTATTAATGACACGCTTTGATTAACATACTAGTAAGCTATAAAGACAAATGTCAATGTTGAGTAACATAGCTGGCTATACTGGGCTTATATTCGGGGGAGGGGGCTTATATTTGAAATGAGGTGATTGTTAGTCCATGTGGTGGGCTTATACGCGGGGGGCTTATATTGGAGGGGGGAGGGGGCAACCTCGTTCCCAGGCTCTTTGCTCTTGTGAAGCAAAGACCCTGGTCGAGGCTGGTCACGTGACACATAGAAAATTGATAACCTAAGAGGGGGATAGAAAAGTATCAAATTACATGTTTCCACTTCCACACCTCACACTTCGATTGCAAGGAGTGACCGTTCTATACAATCATCTTTGAGAATCATATATACTTCAAAATACTTGCTAAATTGGTTGCTGTTTGCTTTTAAATTATACAAACATGCTAAACTGGAGATTCTTATAGCAACAAACAAGTCAGAAAATCAAGCAACGAAAACGTATGATCGTATATGCTTGGAAATATTTCACCCATTTATTGTCTCGGGGTTAAGGCGCAGTTTCATTTCACGCGTACGTTTCTGTATCTGGATCTGGTTCAGATACGTATAATATTCTTATAATGTGCCATTGAATTGTTGTCATATGGAAGCGGTATAAATTTTGTTAAATAGAGGTCTCAAAAGCGACTGTGTAGGTCGTAGGCCTTGTTGGTCCTACAGCAAACGTTACATATTTGGATACTAGCCAAATAGACATCGAATGTCCATTCTATTGATTCTAAAACGGTTTATAGACATAGTGCTCTAGATTTCTTTAAAAAGGTTATCATCGTTTATATTCAACACAAGGTAGGAAGGAGTGTTAACGTACATGTACAAAATTGTTTGGGATCAACAGTAAAGAATTATACGACAATTCACAACTGTATGCATTTCCTTTTTTGTCTGCACGAGTA